ACCATACCACCGTATGTTATGTTTGATGAACATTTTCCGCGTATATGCATATGCTATAATCCAAATGAAATTCTAGAATCACGAAGACTAGCTGCAATAATTGGGTGTTTGCAAAACTTGAAAATTCTGGTTGGTACCATGTCGTCTGCCCCGCATCGCTCCACATAGCAAGTTTCTCGATCTTGGGAGCGGGCTATAAGCGGGCCTGCTCCGAATGACTTCCGCGTTCCCCGACCATCGGGAAATTTTAGGCCTCGAGATCACACGAACAGTCAACCTCCCACATACATATGGCCGAACCCGACGCAAAGGCTGCGCCAGCCGGCAGCGGGTCTGCAGGACCTGTCAAGCCTGAGAAGCCTCCGAACCCAGTATGGCGAATGATGGGTGCGCTTTAAATCGATAATTCTTTGGACCGCTATCTAATCCTACACAGGCTTGCCAAACTTCCGCTTCAGACTCCCCTCGCGCAATTGGATGATATTCCTTTCAATCACGGGATCATGGACTGCCGCTGTCATGTACGATCGCCGCGAGAAGAAGCGCATACAACGCAAGTGGTCGAAGCTCGTGGAACACATCGCACAAGAGCATTTGGATACACACCAACTAGCTCGGAAGGTCACCATATACATTTCTGCGCCACCAGCAGACGGATTGGTACCCGCCCGCGACCACTTCCACGAATACGTAAAACCCATACTTGTTGCAGCAGCGCTAGATTGGGACGCGATCGAGGGCCGAAGAGAGGGAGATGTCAGAGCTGGGCTAGCCGAGAGGATACGAAAGCTGCGGAAACAAAAAGGAGAGCCGACGAGCGAACCTCTAGAAGCGGGGATTGAGGAGTCGCTTGCTGAAATGAGGCAGAGATCTGGCGTGCAGGAGTGGGATGGCATATATGGAGATGTTGTCATCGGAAGACACACATGGAAAGAGTATGTTAGAGGACTACATGAGGGCTGGCTCGGCCCGCTAGATCCTCCTGTTCAACCCGCAGAACTCACACCCGCCAATTTCCCGGTGCCGCAAATTGAAGAATCGACGCCGAAACCCACACCTCAAAGTACACCAGGCGCGGAGCCAGTGGTCGTGCACGCGACCGACGACGCTTCTCCCCAGGCTCTTCCCGACACACCTATGCCAGAAGAAGGCGATAAGCCGAAAGAGGAAGAGAACAAGCCAAAGAAAAAGAAGCAGCCACCGCCATTCATCAAGCCCGACGAATACGAGAATGCTGTCGTCTCACCGTATTGCCCCCAGGCGCTTGGTCCCGCAGCAGTCGTGCCATTCCCACATCTGCTAGGTTTCTGGAACTTCCCCATCCGCATGTACCGCTTTCTCAACAGGCGCCAAGTAGCAGACGATATTGGCAGACAAACAGCAGCCGCAGTTTTGGGCGCATACAGACCTTTCGAAGTTGCGGGTGAGACTGCCAACGTCAGCGGGAACGATGAAAGCAGCAGCGCAAAATGGGAGCAACAGAGGTTGCTTGCGCAAGAGGAGGCCGACTACCACAAGACGGCACGGGACCGAAGTAAAGACGAGGAAGGAAAAGAGCGAGTGTGGCTCGACGACATGGTGCTCGATCCCCGCATCGCAGAGCGCATGAGGAGATTCGTAATAGACGCTGAAGTAGAAGAACGCGCCAACAACTTGCCCGCAGACAAAAAGGAGTCATGGTTTGCTGGATTGTGGCCAAAAGAGCAGAAAAAAGGCCTCTGGGAAGGATTGAGCGATGATGAATGAGCGCTTTGTAGATACCACCATCTCATCTTCGACTTGTATAATATCGCTACAGAGCGTTGTAACATTGTAACGACAGCATCAAAACGGCTTGAACGTCCAAACACATTACACCCTTGTTCAAATTTCCATGTCCTGCTCCTTCATGTGAAGGCCATGAAGGCCCTGGGCTTGGCACTGCCCCACTAGAGGGCTGCTCCGCCCGCGCCTCGACCCTTCAGCATTCTCACCGCCCGCAAACTACCGCCTAACTCACGCCTCTCCACTCCAACTTTCCTGCAACCGCTTCTCCAGTAAACCCACAAATCCACCACACATATCTGCCAACATGCCTTCAGGACAAGGAGGTGAGTCGCATCCCAACCGCACGGCGGGGTAGCATTTGGGAAAAGAAGAAAGAAATGGGCTGACTTTTTGCGCGATTATAGCCGGTACAAACCCCATCCACAACAAGAAGCCCAAGAAGAAGGCGCAGGACCTCGACGAGGACGACATTGCGCACAAGGCAAAGCTCGCTGCCGGTTGGTCACACCCTGTCTATTACATCTCTCTCGACACCTCCACGACATCGTCGCATAACATGCTGCGACACGAATATTGTACGAGTCAGAAGGCTAACACACACAAACAGACAAGAAGGCACGCGACGAACTCGCCGGCAAGGTCGGCAAGGGCAAGGGACCTCTCAACACGGGCTCTCAAGGCATCAAGAAGTCTGGCAAGAAATAAGCGCTTTGATGCGTGAGTGGCGAACGCGGACGGCGACGAGCACGATGATTTGATATTGAAGATACCAAGGGAATTGAAACGGAGTCATACACACATACACAACCACAAATGGGCGTTCATGCATAAATAACCCATGAATGAAGCGATCATGACATTATGAAGGCGCATCTGTGCTGCCTTGTGGGCGACGAAGAAGAATAGCTATTACTGCGCTTTCAGCTCACTGTAACTGACGAGTACGCCTTTGCTTTGCCCTCTTTCTCTTTCTTGAAGCCAAAGACAAACTCGGCGTTTCCCCAAGCCAGTCGCTCCCATTCTTCTTTCGTCAAGAAATTGCTGTTTTTGAGTTCTTCCATCAATTCTCTGCTCCTCTCTTCAAGTGGGTAGTTACTCGCGTACAGTACACGGTCAACCGGGATTTGTTCCAGTAGCGTCCGCATAGTCGACATGTCCAGCACGTCTGCTGTAGCGAGGTAGAAGTTGTGTTGCCAGACGTCTAGGAAGCCGCGGGTAGGTTTGTCGGCGGCGGGTATGAGCGCCAGGATAGTATCGATGCGTGGGAGGAGAGAAGGGAGTAAGCACGGATGAGCCAAGATGATGCGAAGATCTGGATGGCGATCGAACACACCCGAGAGATACAGATGCAGGATCGGAAGAGGCGAGTGATTATGCGAGGTATGCATGTTCGTCATTAACGGAGCAACGACGCTGTCTGCCAGTCCCGCCTGGTATACCGGAAGCTAAATCCCACCCATTAGCCTCGCTCCTCACTGCCCAAGGATAGAAAACAGAACTCACATGCGTCCCCAAAGGCCACATATCCCTCAGCATAACCGGCACGCGGTACCTCGCCGCCACACTCCAAACCTCTTCCAGATCATTCCCCAGCGTCAGCCCCCCACATCCATCCGGCTTCAACCCAAGCACACCCCCCACAAACTTCAACTTCACCACGCACCTTTGCAGCTCCTTCGCCGCCTCCCTCCCGTCCATCGGCAGAACCGCCAGCGCAGCAAACTTGTCGCGATTAATCTGCACCACCGACGCAAGCGTGTCGTTGAACCGTGTACATGTCGCCCGGTGTCGCCGCAATCGGGACGTGCGAGAGTATCTGCCTCGCGTGCCCGAGCGCACGCATGTCCTTGATGCGTGCGGGCCCAACGTTTTTCAGGCTTGCTCAGCGTGGTGCTGGGGCAGGAGGTGGAGCGCAGGAGCACTGGTGTCGGTGCCGATGCCTGTGCCGATCGGCAGGGCGGGATTGATATAGGATTCTAGACAGGCGATGAGGGGGGGCGGGGGCATTGGGTTGGGGATGGTGGGAGTCGGAAGGCTGGCAGCTAGAGGGCGGTTGAGTAATAGGGCGGTGGAGACTAGGATGTTGAAGGCGGTTGAGAGGGTGGAGGATTCTTGAGGGTCGTTGGAGGACTCGAGGTGAGGAGTGCTGGGGGGAGTCATAATGGTTTAAGTGGTGGTTATGGCTGGAGGGTGCAGGGTTTGAAAGGGAAGTGGTGCCATGTGAGTGAGCATAGGTGGCATTCAATGCGCATTTGGAAGTTGTCATGTTGTGGCTGGCGTGTGGTGGAAGTAGTAGTCATGTTGTAGAAACGGCAGAGGGCGTTGGGGAAAGAGCTGCGTGACTTTGCAATGAGGACACACATATGCAGCTTCGATTATACATGGGATGAATGATATTGAAGTGTGTTGTAGTTGCTGCTGCTTTCGATAGACTAATGTACAGGCAACCCTCCCCGCGACTTGCTGCGCTTCTCCTCCTTCCTCTTCGCCTGCTATGTCGCGCCATTGCGGCACAATCTTAAGCGGCACAAGCATTCCTCCATCATGCGGCAGTACGTGGCTGCCATGAACGGGCGAAGCTACGCGACTCGTGGGGACGGAGTTGATGGGGTATGTTCGACTATATGTCTGAACGAGTTTGTAGATCTGTGACGGCTGATCGCAGATCTACGTGGGGTATTTCTCTTCCAACGCTTGGTCGAGATGGTGTGGTGTTTTGGTGTGTGCTGACAATATTGAAAGGTAGTCCCGACGTAGTCCAAGCTGAGATCGCGATGGCAGTCCTTTCGCAACCTTTTTCGACTACGGGCGACCCTTCTTGCTACCAAGAGCCAGGGCCCTCCTCTTGAGGCCGTTCATCTTGCTTTCGCTGGTTGGCGACGTGGGACTTGACACTGAGTCACTTCCGGAACGGGCAGTGTGTGAACTGTTCGATGACTGAGATGTCGAACGCTTGCGACCCTCCTCAGCGAGGATGTCATCCAATGAGACGTTGAGATGAGGGTGGGTAATGGGAACCTCATCGAGGTTCTCGACGAAGCGAGAGGACATTTCGGCGGTAGTGATGGAAGAAGGTATGGTTGCTCAGGTGGTATGTGAAGGGGAGATATTTCGCAGAGCCTTATAAGAATTTCAAGACGTATGGACGTGGATGAGCAATATGATCGACGAAACGGATGTTATTTCCGGGGCAAACGGGTTTGAGTAACGGTCCAGGTATGAGTGGTCCAGACTTGATGTAATAATAGCACAAGGTACTTGTGTAACGAAGGCAAATACCAATCTGGGCAGGCGGTAAGACGCTCAACGATTGCTGTGAATGCTAGGCAGCGATGGTAGTAAGGCAATACGATGAAACGAGTTCGTCGGCACAAGAGCAGGCACGCAGACTTTTAAACTCAGCATCCCCACGTACCTCGCGTCCAATTTCAGTTTGCGCACATGGTCAGCGCCCGCAGTTTGCGGTAGCCAGGGTCTTGACCAAGGGTCCACCCGTACCGCCGATCCCACAGTCTCGATGCCTAACGTATTGTACTAATGTCAGGGATGACGACGGCGGGCCCGCATCCAGACGTGTTCCTCGCGTGCCCACAGGCGAAACTGCCAGGACCGCGGCCCGTTGGCTTTCCTGGAATCGTTCTCTGAGTTTGGGGACTCTGCGAGCGCAACCGCCCGCCCACGAAACGCCGCCTTGCGTGGTGGTGTGAGGCGCGGGCGCCGACTGGAGAGACATGCTCAGAGTCTCTCCGAAAATAGCATGTCATGCACAATCCTTCAGACGAGAGCAGGACATCGATCTCGGCGTGAATATGAGTGGCCGAACTTGCAGTCTGCATCGCTGTCGAATGGATCGCCCCTCAGCGTGCATCCTGGGGATGTCGTTTCGAGATCGGAAAACGAGCCAGGTGTACAGTCATGCGAGCTTCGCCCGAGAGTGGCCGGCGCACCCATGTGGTGTCTACCTAAGAAAGCAACGCGCAAGCCCTTTTGCCACAGCCTCTCACAGCCAAGTCACCAGGCAGACAATAAACTCAGAACCAGCGTGCAGGAGATCGTCCTTGCGGATCAACCCAGACTCTGCCGCTAACATGTTAAGGCATACTTTAACCCCCATCCAGCCTGCGTAATATTGAATTGACACTGTGGTCAAAACAACGGCAACTCTCTGCAGCATTGTCACGCGTGCTGCACCTGTCGTATTCTCGCACGAAAGACGGGCCCGCTTCTCCATGTCCGATGACGTAGGACGAGCGGCAGCAATTTCACAGCCTCCGCAAAGCTCTTGTCTCTTGGCCAAACCTCCAAATACGGCCTATATTATCTCTGTCACGATAACCTTGCGTGTCAGATAACGTGACAGGCCACCTCTGGAACATTTTCGCTAGCGCAGTCCGCACGTTGTGTCATCGAGATGGTGAACACGTACAATGCCATACGACATCATAGTGCGTCTGCACTATACTGTTTCGGCCTGCGGCCCTGGAGACCTTAGCGACTAACAACCCCAGCATGCGCCATCCGTCATGTTAAAACCACCACGATACCCAAAAATGCATGGTGTCGTGCGTCCATCGAGCGCGAGCCGCATCTTCTGTGCTCTAGATCCACATATCGTCATCTCAAGTGCTGCCGTGGTTCTGTTGCTGTACCGGCCCTTCCAACGCTGTAGCGCGACCGTTGGATAGATTGCATCGTCACCAACGTCCGCGACTTCCGCCGCGGCCTCCGCCGCCGCGACCTCTCCCGCGACCACCTCCACGCCCTCTATGTCCACCTCTGGAGCCTCCGCGACCTCCGCCGCCGCGATCTGACCGTTGTTCTTCAGGTCTTGGGCCGTTCTTCATCATTTGACCTCGCTCCTCATCTGACGCGTGAAAGGCGTTGGGTATTTGTAGTAACTCGCAGAATGCTTGAGTGTGGGGATTGCTGTACTCTTGTGGATCTTCTTGAACATGGATACCCAGCGCAGGCTCAAAGACTTCAGCAGTCTGCGCGAAGTCCTCAGGTATCGTCATCTTTCCAGCTTTGACGACGTTCTCTTCAACCCATTTCATTTCTTCCTCTATCAGCGGTCGATAGTGCACATCGCCCTTATCTGCGGGCACACGTGCATGCGGGTCACCCACTTGCAAGTCTGTCGCGAACACGCGTGTAATAGCGAGCCATTCATGGTCATACTCGAGCTGCAATGGCCGTTGGAGTTGCGCAGGAGAATGAGGTGCTACCTCTAGTAGTTGGAGGAAGCTTCTCTTCGGTAGACACTTGTCAAGTGCCAGAAACCTCGTCGTTTTGTTTGTGATGCCCGATGGAAATGGCAAGGTAGGTATAGGTTCGAACTTGGGACGTGCGAAAGAAGCAGGCAATAGATCCCTGAGATCTTGCGGCACTTCTGAGGTGCCATTTGCATTACCAGAAGTACTATTGGTATCTGCACCAGCACGTCCAGCCGTAGGCTCATCCACATCGTCCATGTCAAGATCGATTTCAGCATCGTTTTTGGGTGCTGCAACCGGCTCTTCGTCTGGGACCTCCAATTGAATTTCTTCGGTGTTCTTAGTTGGCTCCGAGCCGTTTGTGGGTTCATGCTCAGCGCTGGCGTATTGCGCCTGCGCATGTTCCCACAGGCCAGCGAACTTGGTGTGCATGTGAGCACTGAACCAGTGGGCAGGGCGCAGTCGCTCCAGTACAGTAGTGGCCGCGACGCTGCCAAGGGTTCCGTCTTTGGCTTCTTGTTCGAAATCAGGCTTCCATCTAAACAACTGCTTGAAGTCACCCTTCCACTCCATGCCGCGCGGCCAGTCGTGACTCAGTCCAATATCGACTTGTGTGCGTATTTGCAATAGCTTCCTCACATCGAGTTCGCGCACGTGGTATATGCTCCTCACGTCGTCACTGTTGTACGGCAGGCGCTCGTAGTGTGGCTTCTTGTAGTTGTACCCTTTCCATATACCCGACAGGCCAGCGATACGGAGAGGACCCAGTCGCACGATATTGGCGGCGCCCATGTAGTAGATCTTGGGGGCTGCCCAGCCGCCGTAGTAAAGCTCCCACATGTAGTTACTCGCCTCGTGGTTGCCGCCGATGAATATGGTCAGATAGGGAGCTACCCGGGCGCCTGAGTAGTATTCGTGGAAGTCGTGCATAGCGTAGTATTTGGTAGGCATAGAGACGGCCTTGAGGTCAGAGGCATTGCGGACAGCCTATAGGATCAGTATTCAGTAGATATGATTGGGCTGGAGCATGATGGTACCTGAAAATCACCTCCGATTATAAGGAGGTCTACGCCAGGCCAACCTTTCAGCTCGCAAGCTTTAGCAACTGAAGCATAGATTCCATGGAGAACGCCGTGACCGCAGCCCTCTACAGCGATGCGCAAGCCATGTTCTGATAGCAACGTTGGCGATGCCATGCTTTCGTGCTGTGTTTGAGATGCGCGTTAGTGCTGGGGGGTTAGTTGGGATGATCCAAACCACGCGGCTGGCCTATTTGCGCAGTAGTCAGGCGCAATTCATTGAGCGCTCGAGTCTGAGGGCAGTCGCTATGCGCGTACATCAAAGCTTAAAGTGTTCTCGCTAGCGTCGGCGGTCGGGGTTCCTGCAGCTCGCCAGGTCGACAAGGCTGATATCTTTCACCTACCACGCTTTACACACGAAAATCATCGACTACAAACATCATGGCCATGACAGATCTAGTGGCTTCGAGGGCTGCATACCTCCATGAAGCTGCACACATGCTCGCAGTATCATCCCCTGCAGCTTCTGCCTTTCTTGGCTTAGCTAGGAATCGACTCATCGAGGACACCGAATTAGAGGTACCCGCGAAAGAATGGGATGCACTTCGAAGAGAGACTTGCGGTGCGTGCGGTAGTATGTTCGTCCCAGGATGGTCCTGCAAGATCTCAAGCGTTCCCAAGTCCCACCAGAAAGGAACGAAAAGAAAGAGCAAGGCGACGGATTTGGATGCTTTCACCAACATGGTCTACCAATGCTTAAAATGCCACCGAACGACAAAACAAGCGTTGCAGCCTCAACTACGGAGGCATATGAAAAGATCAGAATCCAACGTGGCTAAGCAGTTGCCCATCATTTCGAAGTCGTCGAACGAAGAGGCTCCCAAGGTTCCCAAAACAGCCAACGCGAGCAGCAAACAGAGACAGAAATCTCGTAAAGGTGGCCTGCAAGCCATGCTCGAGAAGAACAAGACGCAGAATTCAAAACCAGGCCTGGACTTGATGGATTTCATGATGTGAGAGCCTCCTCAAGTGGACAAACAGCTGCAAGCTTCCGCATTCACTCTACTAAGATCTTTTGGCACGGATTTACGATCATCAATGATTGCTTGCTCATCTCTGTCGCCATCCTATCTCATATGGGACGGTGGTAGGGCTGAACCAGGATCAGGGTCCAGCTGCAAGGAAGGCGCCAGAACGTTTAGAAGTTGCCCCGCTAATGCAACGCGGGGCTCAAAATTTCGAGCATGCGGTCATAGCAAGCCGAGCCCTTCAACTACAGCTTCTACCTTTCCCCTACATTCAACCACACTCCACAAGATATAATTTCAAGAATCACAACATGGCTGAACAAAAGAGTCTCGCGCAAGACCTGTTTGAGGACATGGGCCGCAAAGTCGCAGAGGCGAGCGCACAGGAAGGCGACGATGATACAAAAGTTGTCGATGAGATTGAGAGCTTGTGCATGAACTGCCATGAAGACGTAAGCGTTGGGTTTATTATGATCAAAGACTCAGCTAACGCGCGTAGGGCACTACTCGACTCCTGCTCACCAAGATCCCATTCTTCCGCGAGATTGTCATCATGTCTTTTGCATGCCCTCATTGCCACTTCAAGAACACTGAAGTCCAGCCCGCTGGCGAGATACAACAAAGGGGCATCAAGTTTACATTAAGAGTGGATTCCGCAGATGACCTCAGCCGACAGATTATCAAGAGCGACACCGCTGTATTCCGCATTGAAGATATCGATCTCGAAATACCACCAGGTCGAGGACAGCTGTCGAACGTCGAGGGCATCCTTTCCATGGTTGCGCAAGATCTAGAACAGAAGCAGGAAGAGAGGAAGGAGGTCATACCCGAGGTCTACGAGAAGATACAGGGCGTCATTGAGACCATCAAGCAAATGGCGAGCGGACAGAAGCTACCGTTCAAGCTCACAGTCGACGACCCAGCCGGTAACTCTTCCATCGAGCCCCCAAGCCAGCTCATGGGAGGTAAGTACTCTCGTAGTGAGTACCCACGCACGCCTGCACAGAACGAAGCTCTAGGACTTGGTGATAGCAGTGGCGAGGCACCCGCGACCGAGATCCGCCCGGAGTACCAAGCGTCGCAGATGTACCCCGAGATGCCTACTAGTTCGATGGTCAACAATGTGGACGAGGATGATATTGTCGAGAACCAGGTCTATTCGTTCCCTGCAACATGCCCCGGATGCACCAAGACGTGCACCACTAACATGAAGATGGTCAACATTCCGCATTTCAAGCAGGTTGTCTTGATGAGCACTGTATGCGATCACTGTGGATGTAAGTGAAGGTTGTGATTGCAAGGAGATCTTTCACTAACGAGATATAGACCGAAGCAACGAAGTGAAGACTGGTGGAGAAGTGCCAGAACAAGGGCGCCGCATTACTGTATCTGTTGACAGCAAAGAGGACATGTCACGCGACATCCTCAAGGCCGAGTCTTGCGCCATGTCATGCCCAGAGCTCAACCTCAGCGTCGAGCCCGGAACACTTGGTGGCCGCTTTACCACGGTGGAAGGCATCTTGACGCAAGTGCGCGATGACCTTAAGGCCTCCATTTTCGACACTGGCGATGGCGGTGACTCTATGAACTCGGAATCCAAATCGAAGTGGACTGAGTTCTTCGCCAAGGTGGCCTCGGCTATCAATGGCCAGGTCAAATTCACCATCATTCTTGAGGATCCCCTCGCCAGCAGCTACGTCCAGAGCTTCACGGCACCGGAGCCAGACCCTCAAATCAAGGTAGAAGACTACGAGCGGACCGAGGCGGAGAAGGAGGAGCTGGGTTTGAACGACATGAAGACAGAGAACTACGAGGAAGAACACGCCGCATCAAATGGGGCGACGACCAACGGAGCGTAGAGCCGTGTTTCGTTCGATCGGTGGCTTATAGATTTCCATTCGTTTGCATTGGGTCGGGGCGCGTAGATATCCAGGCTTCGCCAGCCTTATGAAGCATTTTCGACCTCCCACTTTCGCATCTTGACTTGATCCACATTCGCTCACCCAGCTAACGGATTCGCATGTATTGTAACGCTCTTGATCTCGACGCGCTCTTGCGGCCTTGATTTTTTGTCCACGGCAATCTTCTCCATGTCGTCCAGCACTTCGTCGCCCTCGAGCAACTTTCCAAAGACGGTGTTCTTTCCATCCAGATGCGGCGCGGGCGCAAAGGTAATAAAGAACTGCGAGCCATTTGAATTCGGTCCTTTGTTCGCCATGCTGACTATGCCGCGCGCATTGTGTCTCAGCGCGGGGCGGATCTCGTCTTCGAACAGCTGATTCGGCGTGTCATAGATGGAGGTGGATGTCTTGGATTTTGAGTCTGACGCCGGGCTACCGGTCTGCACCATGAAGTTTGGTATCAGGCGGTGGAAGGGACTGGCATTGTAGAAGCCGGAGGCGCACAGGGCGAGAAAGTTCTCGGCGGTCTTGGGCACGGTTTCGCAGAAGATTTCGAGCTTGATGTCACCGCGTGAGGTGTGCAGCTGGAGCGGTGGTTAGTGTGTGACGAACCAATGGACACGGGCGCACTGCTTTCTGAGGAGAGGGCTCAGAGCTGCAAACTGTGAAATGGTCGAGAATGAAAAGGGGTTGTTTGGGCTACATACAGTAACAGACATGGTGTTGATACAACTGGAGGAGCATTCCCCTCGGCCGTGGCGGTGGTGGTCGTGGTGGTGCAGCAGTCGGTGGTGGTTCTCAGCGTTGGAGCCCCCACAGCTGGAGCTACCAATGAATCGTAACAGCACGCAACGCCGCCTGCGTATCAGCATCCCCCAGGGCTCGCACTGCGATTGCACCCTGCGTCTGTACGCACCCACGGGTCTGCACTGCGCTCGCTGTCACCGCCACTATTACTACTGCGCCTGCGCCTGCAGCTGCTGCCACGACCATTGTGTGTGATTCCGCCAGCACCGCAAAGAGGCCGTCCTGGATCGTCGACAAGGCCCCATTCGCCTAAGCTTTCCGCCGTACCAATACCACGACGCTCCGTAGCCCTACGCGACCCCGGGCCTTTGTCGACATCATATCCGCGCATTCACTCTGCTGAGCCATACGACGGCAGCTCCCCTCGCTCGCGTCCTCGTCCGTACCGCCGCTGTGCGACCGGCTCGCTACCGCCTGTCCCCCGCGCAATCAAGCATTCTTACACCTGCATCCTGACCCCACATCATCCCGCAGTAGGAAGGCTGTCTCGCTCCACCACCGTACAGCCCAGCTGTCTGGCGCACCACGCTGGAGGCACTCGAGATCACGCCTGGTGAAAGAAGAAGAAGCTTGGAGCGCCCAAGTCGACGTCGATGCAGTGCCTGCTGCCATCCCAGGCCTGCGCCGACCAAACCACACCCATAAGACGCCATGACGGCCTTTGTACGCGTCTCGGGGCCGCCCAACAGTAACTTCTTGGTCGGCTACCCGGGCATATCAGCGACACTGGTACGTCCACAGCTGGTGCGCATGTAATTCAGCGACCGACCCATGACGTCGTTGCTGGAATGCTCCATGGCACCCTTTCCCTACCACCGATTTGGCCCATGCTGACACCATGTATAGCCGCGCATAGAAGGCAAAGTCGAAGTGCGCCCGCTGCTGGGCGTATCCGCACCCGTCAATGTCTCCCTCGTCACCATCGCATTGCACCGCCGCGAAACCATACACCCCTCCGCCGAGTCGCTGACGAAGAAGCACTTGGCAGCTCCACGCAAAGAGATCACTGACATTGTGGGCAAGGAGATGCTGCTATACAGAACGCCCGCTGGACGAGAATACGAGAGCATACTATGCATGGATCTACCGTTTGTCATCTTCATCCCATATGGCCGTGGTGGCGAGGAGGTCGCTAGGAGAGTCCCGCCCGCAAGCCTACAGTTACCCAGCCGAACGGCCGAGACATTCTATGAGCTAGTCGTGACGGTGCAGCAAGGGCCGTCCGAGCAGAAAAAGTACCCGTTCGCAGTACCAATACAGCGATACGACACCCTGTCGACATTCGGCATGTACAACCGGCCAGAGAGCGCCGAACGAGTGACTGACCATCTGGTCACCCTTGGAATTAGTTTACCACGGTGGAGCTATGGCCCGCTGGATCCCGTCTCAGTATACATCAAGCTCAGCCCTAACCCCGACTGGCTGAGCAAGGCTAAGAGGGTTACCATATCCAAGATCACAGTCGGCATAGACGAGGAGATTATTTTCAATCACGAGGGCGACGAGCCGACACGGAAAGTGAAGACCTTGGCGACGACAACGCAACGAGTTGGGGTCAAGATGCCCGAGGCTGGCTACTTTACTAATCTTGGACTGGTATTTCCTGCAAAAGACTTGCGCGATCACGATGGCATAATACCGCGGGGTAAGAAGGAGTTCCCAATGTACGCGGTCAATGGTTTCACCACCACCGGCACGCTGTACAAGATCGAGTACTACCTTACTGTCAAGGTAAGTCTGAATATCTACTTTGGAAAGCATCGGCGAACTAACCGATTGGCAGGCGCAAATGTCATCAGCAAAAGACATCCTTCTCCGGCAACCCATCGTTGTCTGTCCGTTCGACCATGCAGGGTGCAAGGAGGAGATGGAGGCTATCGAGCAAGCTGCCAAGGATGCTGCACACGTCGCACCGGAGAATCCAATGTTACCAGCTAGCTTGATTGTACGCTCGAATGACCCAGAGGGACTAAGGTCGCTAGGTATTGCGATCGTAGGAGGAGTTCGGAAACCATTAATTGAGTGAAAACCGCATTCAGAAAGAGTTGGAGATCTACTATCAGTCAGGAAAAAAAACTCTGCCAATGGCGGCTTTGCCGCATACGAAATGGGACGAGGGACAGCGACGAGCGAGGAAGAAGGAACAAGAGCTTCTCATACCGAACTACTGTCCACGATTGCTCGGAAGGCACCTAGAGATGGGCAATGGCCAAAGCCGAGCAGCGCGATATTCCGTGGCCCTAGCCCAACAACGCTGGCAGACCGTCACTCGCTCAGCAGTGAGCTTCGCTACATATCACTACCAATCATACCCACGACTGCGGAGCATCGGCGTTTTTTTGGATAACTTTGTGCGACATGGCAAAATACCCCACAGGGCGTTGCTTCGTCCCTGGGTGGACATGTAACATTTTCACGGCGTTCTTGCCTGGATTGCCACGAAAATCTGGCTATGCGGAGGGATATTTTCGGGAGGAGGCCGCTGGTCTTTTTGGGCGTTGATAATTGTTTGATACCTTTCGATCGCTTTGCAGGGTAACTTTGCATGAAACCATGTGGGCATTGGACATGACGGCTGGGCCCGAGGAAGATGAGGGAACAATAAGGATTGGAGATAATTCAATGAATTAATACCTTGTTATACTTCAAAAGTCCCAAATCGGAATTGTGTGGAACGGATAACGGTGATCACCAATACGGCCCGAAAGCACATCGCTGGGGACGAACGTGGTCCGTGATTTTCTCCTTATCTATGTTCTTGACTCTTCTCTGTACCTGTTGAACACATACTCATTGCAAAAATGATGAGAACGTAGGTAGCTAACTAGCGCTGCGAGGCTTACAAGTCATCCCGGTTGTGCGACGTGTCTGTCTCTAATTTCGAACTTTCTTACTTTCCTTCTTCTGGGTCAAGATTTACGTTCTTAGCGCCTACTTGATAGAGTACGAGCGGGGGAGAGAAAAAGACAATGGATGGGATGAAATGCACCAAGGCAGGCGTTTTGAGAGTTGCAAAATTGCACTCGAAAGAAACAATGAGAAAGAGCTATTCGAAGGGGACATCACTGGATCATCAGGCTTCACTACCACAAAACCACACGGCCCCGGAACCCTTAGCATTCCCGGCTTCGAAGGCAGATATGTGAGCAAGGGCCAAGATCCCCGAGTCGAGTCGAGTCGAGTTGAGTCAAGTTGTGCGACGTGACGCTTGCCACCAAGATACCGAGGCAAAGATGTCATAGGTAGCTTTGACGCAGTCTACACGCGATCGTCTGCGCGCCATGGATTCTTGCTATCCACATGCAGCCGCGGCATCTCCAAGACGTCTTTTTTTTTTCTCCGATTGGTGAAATGGGCACAGGGCGTCACATGGAGTCCACCCGCAAGCTGAGGTCAAGAAACCTAACTTGGGACCCTGGCTTCCCTTCCCCACAATACTCCCTACTCCACACTCTTCGCCTTGCGTCCTTGTCGACTGCTTCTAACCACCACGGAGTCAAGTCAGGATGATTCACGAAACGATCCGCAGAGTGAATGGGTATGAGAAGGATGCGTACACTTATTATCCCGTCGTCATTGTGGGCGCGGGCGCGTCGGGCATTGCCATGGCGTGTCAGTTGAAGCAGCAGCTTGGGTTCGATCAGTTTCGTGTGTTTGATCGGCAGGCGGGGATTGGGGGGACGTGGTGGATTAATCGGTATCCTGGGGTTGCTTGGTAGGTTGCGGCAGTTCCATGTCAAGCTATGCAGAGGGCAAGAGTTGGAGGGACAAGAGCTAATGATAACCACAGCGACGTCCCAGCGGCCTTTTATTCGTTTTCGTTCGCGCAGAATCCCGGTTGGACGTCGTTTCACCCGCCGGGGAAGGAGATTGTGAGGTACTATCATCAGGTCTGCGAGAGGTTCAAGATCACGGATAAGATTGAACTCAACACGGATATCGAGGAGTGCAGATGGCTGGAGGAGGAGCAGCTGTGGCAGGTCACGATCCGCCGCATGACGGCGGGTATGGGGGACTTGTCCGCCAAAGACCGCGCGAAGGTGGTGCAAGAGAAGGGCGAAGCGGCTGTATACTCGGAGACGGAAATCGTCAAGGCGAAGGTGGTGGTTAGCTGTGTTGGAGGACTTGTGGAACCGAAGGGATGGCCGGATGACATCAAGGGGATCGAGAATTTCAAGGGGAAGATGTTCCATTCGGCGAGATGGGATGAGACGGTCGACTTCACGGATAAGAACGTCGTTGTTGTGGGCACGGGTTGTAGTTCTGCACAGCTGGTTCCTCGATTACCGAACGCGCCGTACAATGCGAAGAAAGTCACGCAGCTCATGCGCTCGCCGCCGTGGGTGGTTCCGAGCACGGCTACACCAGGAGGCGACGAGTGGTGGGAGAAGAATGGACCCAAGTTGATGAAGAACATTCCCGGTGCAAAGGAATTCCTGCGCTTCTTCATATTTGCGACGGCAGAGCTCCAGTTCCTCCAGCTATTCCCCAACACGCCGTATGCCGAAAAGAGCAGGAAGGTATATGAGGAACAAGTCCTGAAGCACATGCGCAAACTCGTCCCGGAAAAGTACCACGCCATCATGACCCCCGACTACGGTGTCGGCTGCAAGCGCCGCATCTTCGACAAGCGCTGGCTCAAGAGCCTCAACGACGAGAAAATCGACCTCACAACACAACCCCTTAACCGCGTGACAGAAACCGGCGTCGTCATCGGCCCCGGCGCCACATACCCCAAAAACATCAATCCAGAAGACTACCCCGAGCGCGAAGTCCCCGCCGACATCATCGTGCTCGCCAACGGCTTCGACACTACACGCTGGCTGCATCCCCTCAAAGTCGTCGGGAAGAACAACACCGACCTGGTCACCCTGATGGACGAGCGCGGCGGCGCGCAAGCCTACCAAGGCACCGCCATGGACGGATTCCCCAACTTCTTCCTAATCTTCGGGCCCAACACAGCGACCGGGCACAGTTCGGTCGTCATGGCGAGCGAAAACATGGTCGCGTACAGCCTGCGCTTCATCCGGCTGATTCTCGCCGGCGACGTGTCCACCGTGGATGTGAAGAAGTCCGCGGAGCAGCGCTTCACAAGTGAAATCCAACACGCGCTCAAAGATACCGTCTGGCAGAGCGGCTGCTCCAGCTGGTATTACACGGAAAACGGCTGGAATAGCACTGTGTATCCGTATACGCAGGTGGACTTTTGGCGCAGGTGCATGTGGCCCAAGTGGGCGGATTGGAACATCGAGTATACGAAAAAGGGCCTGTGGAATCAGAGGAAGATGAGGGCGATGAGGGCGCTTGCGGTGCTGTTGGCGATTGTGGGCGCGTATAGGATTCGGCAGAGTGGGAAGAGGGTCAAGGATGTTAGGGAGAGTATGAGGAGAGCTGTGGAGGGTGCGGTGGGGAGGGCTGTGCAGGTTTTGGGGGTGTTGAGGGAGGGGATTAAGAACTGATGGATTAGGGTGGTTGAGGGGGAGGGTTTGATATCTTGTTGGCTCTATTGTAGGAAGCCAGAGGGTTGTGACGACTTTTCGGGAGTATTATATCTGTTTGACTTTGCTGGCCTGAAAGCATGATTCTCAATTGTGGAAAGTGATGCAGCTATTGAAAGTTCCGAGGTCGTTGCATGCAATGTCATGTTGACTTGATTGAATGACTCTATTGAACGACCTCGGGGATTGTCATGATCTCTCGCAAGTATTTTACCTGTCTCTCCTGAAAGCATGTATGCCGATTGTGGAAGCTACTCAGGCGATGGAAATCAGGCGATGGAAATCAGGCGATGGAAATCAGGCGATGGAAATCAGTGGAGATGCCATTGGATGCATCAAAGGGGTCTCAACGAATCATCTGGGGTAGTGGTCGTTCCTTCCCCGCAAACCGCCGCACAGATCAGTGGGTCACTTCTTTCGCCGATTGCGCGCTCGAGCCTGCTACCACGGAGCTTCCTATCTACCACTTTGCTTCTCCACACATTGTGGCCGAGGCTGCACCCTGGTCAGAGCGAAGATGAGTGCGACGTCTCCGAATAGACGCGATCGCCATGCCAGCGACACGATGAGTCCTCCCGGCGACTCTAGCAGCAATGCGAAGCGGAAGAGTGATGATGGGTCGGCGCAACCACGGGCGAAGCGCAACCGCTACATTTCGATTGCATGGTAGGATATGCGCACTTGCTGCAGTCTGCAAAGCAGCACGGGGGCTAAAGCAGAATAGCAACGAATGCAAGCGCCGCAAGATCAAATGCAACGGGCAGACACCCTGCCAGCGGTGCGGCAACCTCAATCTCGAATGCCAATATGCGCCCAACTGCTGCAACAACTTCAAGGAGTCCGAGTTCGTGGTCCCGATAGTGCAAACCTTAATAATGCGGCTGACCACGATGCAGTGAGTTCAAGCAGATGTCAGCGCATCTTACCGCGCTCCAGCAGCAAGTCGACGACCTCTACAACAATCTCTCCAGCCTCCGAACCCAGGTCGACGTGCAAAGCCACACCAACGGCTCGATTGGCACCCCTTTCAATGGCGGCGACTACCAGCCAACGCCGATGCTTCCTCCGTCAGCGCGATCGCGGACCAAGTCGCTCAGCAAGTTCCCTCGCTTCCATGGCCCGACGTCGAGCGCGTTCAATCTTGGGGTGGCCAGGTCGAGCCTGAAGACCATGGGCATAACTGCGCACGACGAGACTGAAGACGAAGGGGTCATTACACACGACGTAACTCCAAGGGCCTCTCCGCCTGGGTCTGCTTCCCGGTTATTGAGAGCCCCCCTACATGCTGACAAGGATCCAATCTGGAATCTGTCCAAACACGAAGCACTGCGCTTGGTACACGTGTGGCATGATGAGATGGGCGTCATGTACCCCATACTGGAAATCGATAAAGTGCTGCATTACACCGAGATGCTGTACACGTTTGTCGAAGCTGCTGCTCGGCATGGGCTTATGCAGGGCGCTGCGCCCGGTTCTGATGCCATCATGGACGAACAGACTAGCATAATGAAGCTCATACTGGCCATAACCTTGGTCTTGGAGGGAGGCGGGAAAGATGTCCTGGGAGAGAAGCTCTTTGACAATGTGCACAAGGTTGTGGAGCGGACGTTGTCTGAACCTGTTGGTCTCCATGGCATCAATCTCCTGGCTTTGACTGTAGGTACAATCCACCCGTTTGAAGAAGCTCGACTGATCTTTCCAGGCTATGTACCACTTCACAAAGGACGACGAGGCATTAGCTTGGAGGGTCATTGGGCTGGCTGCGCGCCACTGTTTGGAACTGGGGTTACATCGTCGTGAGACGTATGCGACGCTCTTTGCAGACCCAGACGAGCAAGCTGCGGCGATACGAACATTTTGGTGCATTTACGTCCTTGACCGACGGTGGAGCTTTGGGACTGGTATGCCGTTTGCTCTGCAGGATGCAGACATCGATCCCAACCTGCCAAAGCCGGTAAGCAATAGTCCTGTGGAATTGCGATGACAGTCGTGCTAAATCCAGCAGGATGTATCTTCTCACGAGTCCTCTCCGTACCTTAATTGTATGATCTCTTACAGCATCATCGGTTCCAAGGTCTGGAAGTCGGTAGCCGATGTGGCATCTCAAGAGAAAATCAACAAAGAAGACATCTCGTTTCTCGACTTCCAGGTTCTGAATTGGCATCGATCGATACCAGAGACTTTGAAGTTTATACATCCAGAAAGCGGTAGACACCACAGACCCACCAGTGCGCGCCATACATCGTCTGCAAGTGGTTCTCTACCTGCGGAGCGAACCAAATGCGGAATACTCATCTACCCGTCCAGTTCTGCACACCAGCGACTAACTATCATGGAGAACCTCGAATTCGCGCACGTGGTAGTAAAGGTTGCGAAGGAACACCATTCGACATATTGACCTACATCAACCAGACATCAGACATCTACCGATCTCAGCAGACCATGTTCAACTACTTCCTGATCTCGGCATTAGCCGTCCTGTTCCTCGCTGTTGCGCACGCACCAGCTGAGTTCAGCCAGCCTTCTCGCGACGAGTTCTACATGGCGCTCGAGCTTGTTCGGAGGACTGTCGTCGAATTCTTACGTCTCCAAGCGCTTGTGGAAGACAATCAAAACACTCAAGGAAGTCGGGCCAAGACTTGGTCTCATGATCCACCACGACGAGACTTCGGACGCTCATTCGTCGGCGGCCGTTGCAATGGCAGGTTTGGCGGGCCATCAGGTCGATGAGATGGCGCTCTTCTCGAATGGCCGCAATGGTAACAAGCTCGACACGCCACATGGCATGGCGAGTGATCTCACGACGCTATTCGAGGCTGCAGGAGGAGCTTTCAATCTAAGTGGATTTGGAGCCTCCTCATCCGAGATGCCGCCGAATGGAGAGTTTGCGCATGCTTTTGGGCAGGAGAATGATGAATTGGCGAGGATCATGCGGGATTTGTTCTGAAAGACATTGGGCGGATTTTGATACCATTCGTAGATTCATTCTGACCTCGGCCCTGCGTGCTCTGAAGCCATCGAAACTCAATTATGTCTGTGTCATGGGGCACGCCGCTTGCAGATGGTGTTGTTGGTGAGTTTTGATCACGTGCGCTTGCGTTCGCCAAGTCAGCCAGGCTCGAACCTGCCCTTCACAACACCCAGCCCACATTTCACGCGCTCTTACCTACCCGAGCTTCACCTAGCCTCTGCAGGGGCCAAATAGACGCATTCACACACATTTCGCGCACACAAACCCTGCCCGTCACTTCAGGACCCCTCCCCCACTCTCGTCACTCGCACTACGACATCCATTGAACTCTCCCGCCGTAGCTCTCTGCGTCGCTACACATGCGATAGACAGGGCCACACGTGTGGCTTCACGAACCAGACCGACTTCCAGGGTTCCGACAACCCGCCCCGGCCGCAGCTTCTCGTGTGCATCGCACTCGGGCACCCCCACATCCACATTTTCGAGCCCCTCGCTATCCGATAGCCGTGCGCTGTTGTTGCGCGCAGCAACTTCAAGATTGCTTCAATCCTGGCGGCGCAGCTTTTGCAAGACTCCGACACTATGTCGTCGTCTTCACAAGTCACCGAGTCGTGGATCGCGTCCTTTTGCGGGCTGCTAGGCCACGAATACTTTGCCGAAGGTGTCAGAGGACTTTATCGAGGACGACTTCAACCTCACAGGCCTGCAGTCGCAGGTGCCCATGTACAAAGAGGCGCTGGAAATGATACTGGACGTTGAGCCAGAAGACGACGAGGAGGACGAGGAAGAAGAGGAAGAGGACGAGGATGAAGACGACCTGGGCGACGAACGAGCGCCAGGATATCGCAGAGCAAATGACCGGAGACACCTGCGGATAGCCTCAGATCTTAGTGTGATAGAGAGCTCCGCCGAGCTGCTCTACGGCCTCATACACCAGCGCTACATCACGTCACGACCAGGCATCCAGCAAATGGCTGAAAAGTACGAACTACAACACTTTGGGACCTGCCCGCGCGTCCACTGCAACTCGTGTAAAGTCCTCCCCGTAGGACTGAACGACAGTCCTGGCCACGAGACTGTCAAGCTCTTCTGCCCTTCCTGCCTCGATGTTTACACCCCGCCCAACTCGCGGTTCCAGACTGTCGACGGCGCCTTCTTCGGCACGACCTTCCCCTCGCTATTTTTCATGACCTTTACTGATCTCGACATTGGTGGCGGCCTCCGCAGTAATGCAGCCGCGACAATCGACGCCCTGGCGCAATTGCAGGCCCAAACCTCGGATGGCAAGTCGCGCAACACCACACCTTCAAACGTCACGTCGATAAACGGCGTGGCACCACACAACCTCGCTCCCGGTCTCGGCACGGGCAGCATCTACGAGCCTCGCATCTACGGCTTCCGCGTCAGCGAGCGCGCACGCTCTGGCCCGCGTATGAAGTGGTTACGACTCCGCCCAGCAGACGTTACCGAACTCGACGAAACACGCAGATACTGGGAAGATCGCGACGATGACGCCGACCGGCCCGACGACGACGATTTGAATATGGTGGACGTTGCGGAAGGGGGGAAAGCAGGTGTTTCCGCAGACAGGCGGAAGAAGGCCATACGTACTAGGAGACGGCCAGCAAATGGCGGCGCAGCGGGTAGCCCAATGGACACCAACGGTGTAGGGGCTGGACCCGCGGGCTAGGTGCTCGGTAACCCCACTGCCGCAGACTGGTTTTCACGAAAGGACATGCAGTATCTAAGTCTGTTTCTTGAGAGTGACGACATGAGGATACTCGAGCGTGAGCTTGACAATGATGGGGGTCCGAGAGGGTAGAGATGCTGGAGTGTTCTTGTCCCGCGTGAGACCGAACTTGAGGTGGGATGCTTTATTTGTTCAGCAAGTTGTATTTTCTCACATGGTTAGAACGAGCTGTGCATGAGGGAAGCTCGAATTGACACATTCTGTTCAGCGAGACTGATATGCCTTTGTTTACACATGCTCATATGCTAATCCTACGTGTTATCGGCTGGACTGACTTGAACTTCACAGTCTATGCTTTATTCCGACTCTCCATGCCACACACACAAGTCACAAGCCAACAAGAGAACAAGCTAAAGAACAAGACTAGGCGACCGATCATGCAATTAAGATAATCGCCGTGAAAGGAAGATTACTCATAGGCTCGCTGATTTGTTGAATAGTCGGCGAGGCGCAGATCGCGGACGAAGATCACTTTTATATGCGTGCAACCCTGACCAGCAAGTGGCGTTTGCTAGCTAGCTGAGCTGAAGCATCCAACCAATGTGCGCTGCGATAGGGAAGACTGGAGGCTGGCTGCTGACACCCTTCTACAAGCGAACTGAAGCACTCATCAACATGTGCAATTTCGCAGAAATCGTGATTCCAATCCGATGCGAATGTAGGTGTGGTGCTGAGGGAGAAGGACAAGTCACCACGGCCCATCCCGAAAACCCTATCTAAACCCTTCCCTTTCCCAATCCGTCAGCAGCCTCATGCGCAGACCCCACCACCGATCGATTACTAGGCTGGTCGATTGGCGCACATGCTCAGCTTAAAGAACGATGGGAATGTGCTAAGCGATCCGCAGGGTGCAACTGGCTGAGAAAGGCACCGGAGCTGCTGAATCCGTCCTGTGGGCGGGTCGATGGGAGCTGAGTAGATTTGATCGGTCTTTCGGTAAGATAGTATGGGTGGGGAGCTCACTTGTAAAGTGTGATGGGATGCATATCTTTTCGTTTCGTTTCTTGTCTGATTCTGCGAACATTTTTTTATCTTCATCGTTCAAGCGTTGTGTATTTTATCGAGAATGAACTTCCTCTCCTCAGCGCTGCGTCCACAGGGTCGCGAACATGTGAATGACCCGGAGAAAGATGGCGCGGTGGGACGTACGCCGATGGTGAATTGCGCGACGATACTGGAGCCAGCCGCTATGCAGCAACTTGATACTTTTAGACACATGGTCGGTATTCACAGTGCGAAGGGGCATACGGAGAATGCGCATAATCATTTACATTTTGACGGACGGGCGGCGCCGAATGTGGGGATTGTATGTTGACATTCATTCATGCATGAGCCTGGCATAAAAGACTGATATGCGAACAGTACAACCGCGTCTGCCATCGCGAAGGCCAAGCCAAACGCGGCTTCGAGCTCGCCACTCTCTTCATCAACGGCTGTCTCGGCCTGCAAGTCATCGTCGCCGCAGCCTTGACTGCCATGGACGCTGAAGCTTTGGTTCGCGAGGAAGTTATATACGACCTTATTCTATGCACCGTAGCACGAGGCCACTTAGTACTTCGTCCTCTTCCGCGTCTGACAGTCTAGGTCAGGAGAGATAGCACAAGCTCAACTCAGGTCACATAGTATCGGTGGTGCATCGAAAAATGCTCCTAAGCATACCATAGCTACCACATCACATCAACATCCCTTAGGTGACAGGAGCAAGCCAGGTTGACTTAGACCCCCACCCCCCTCTCCTCCCGCGGCTATTACATTCGACAGAACGGGCCAGCTTTTTTATCTGTTAGTGTCGGATCACAGGTATCGTCAATATCTCAGCTAAGCGATTAGATGCACTGATCGCGGCGCCTGAGCAGCGCTCAGACTAGAACATTTAAGCTCTCCCTTCTATAGTTATCCTCCTTCGTACAAGATTAACAAGAAAAATCACCGAACAGAATGCATTTCTAGTTATCGTTGTTTTCCTTTTCGCACTTAGCACTAAGCTGACTAAGAGTCAGCCTTGTATCTTAGCGGAAGTTTAGAGATTCTTTGAACGGCGAAGTGGAAGCTGTTGGTACACGTTTACCCTGATACTGACACTAATACTGACATCTAGCGCTGACTGGTGGAAGCACGTTCATTCCAACACTGACGGCTAGCGCTGACCGGTGCAAGCGCGTAGTTAAAGAACGTGCCTAGCATTGACAACGTTGCCGGCAATTCCGGAACCCGTATCTGGATACGCCCGGGTGCACGCTGAGAACGCGAACAATAGAATAAGGTTCGCAGAGAAAATGCTGACAGGGTTTAGCTGGATGATTCGGCCTGAAGGTACCCCGTTTCTCACATCAACAGCCTTGCAAATACTGTACAACAAATTGCTGAGTCAAACCTAAGACGAGGTTTACTCGCTTTTCGTATGGGTACTATGGGTAGACAAGGAGGATAAGTACTTGGTCAAAGGTACTTAGCCACTACACCTGACCTCGGGAGTCGCCCAAGTCTTGAGATCGTGAAAAGAACTTTGAAGCCACACTATGATGCATAGAAGGGTACCACCAGGCTTTCCTCGACCAAAGGAGATCTGAGAGGGTACGGAAGCACTACACAAATAGAAGATCTACATAGGTACCATGTGCACTGCCGCAAGCAGATACAGCCGAGCCATTTCTCCGGCCCGATGGCCGCCAATGAGATCGTGGCCGGGAGTTCGCTGCATCGCCCACATCAGGCGGATACATCTGTTTGAAACGGGCGCACAATCAGATCTGGGGGTATAGATGTAAAATAGAGTTTGAAAATTGAAATTATTCCCGCTTTCAAAATAACTTACTAGCCGTAGGAGTCCTAATTTAGCAATCTGACAACCAGGACGTCGGGTTCGTGCGGACTTATCACACCGCGTTCTTGTATGTAGACATCTTCTTAACGGTCCGTTACTACATCTAGACCTTCTTCCATCGTTTTCGGCCGTATGTTTTCGGCCGCAGGGCTGGGAGTGCACTGCCTGGTGGATCGTCGCAGCGAATTCTACGTACTTGGTATGCAATCGCCGAATATCCAAGACTTTTCCATCTACTCACCTACATAAATGGAAAGAGTGGTAACGTAAAGAGCCGAAGATATGCCAGTCGCTAGAACAAGCGCAGGTGTTCTGCTAATCCCAACGCGTACCGCGAGCGTGTACAGACAAGGATGTCGATCGGAAAGGGGCCTATCTGTTGGGCTATGCGCGCCTAGATCTCGCAAACTTCATGCAGTTACGATCCTGTTACCGGTCTGACTCTCAAGCAAGGTACACCTGCGAACTTTGCGTGACTTTCTAGATCATCACTGATTATACGCTATCTCAACAAGGTTCATACTTGTACGAGAAGGGCCTTTGTTCGGGGGTCCTCAGAGGTCCTAGTCGCTTCGAAGTCGGCAGCAACGAAATAGACTAGCGTCAGACCACGACACCGCAAGTTAACAGCGACATCCCTACGACTTGAATCTCTACTCTATATAAGATCATGCAAACTCCCTCCTGGAATTCCACAACAGCGCATCCAGCAACAGCACATCAAACAACAGCTTTAGCAACTACTAGATCAATCACTACCTCTTTCTCTTCAACATGAAGCTTACTATGGTCTTGTCAGTAGCCTTTGCTACTCTTACTTTCGCCAACGAAGGAATCCTCACGTTTGAGGGCTTAGGCCTTGCCCGCCGTCAAACAATTTGCCATACTCCAGGAGGTTCAGGCTGCCGAGCAAGTATTTCCGGTGATCAATGCTGCTGTACATCGTGTACTCCCGTACGTACTCTTCTTTCCTGTATCTACTTTTGAACTCATTGAGGTAATATTAATACCGTAATAGGAGGACTGCAGCGATCTCTGTAAGAACGGCAAACAAGCGGCTCATGAAGCTCAGAAACAAAAAAAATGTGCGAAATGCTGCAACGCCGGTGGGGAGTCTCACGAACTCTGCTGCTCTATTGCATCCGCTGGGATTGACTGCAACCCTTGCACCGCTGGACTAGTAAGTTTTTCTTTCTTGAGATAATTATAAGCACGAGCTAATATACACTCTCTTATAGCGAATGTGCTAGTTAGCTGCCACATCCACAACTTCCTCTCTAGTTTTAAAGAGTAGTAAACAAAAAAGCCTACGCAGGTGTTCTGGCAATTACAGCATTTATTCCTCTATCTATATGCTTATGATACGTACTTAGAGGCAGTATAGATAGAATAATCAAAGACCTTAGCAGACAAGAATAGTTCTCTCCACTTAGTGTTGTTAGGATAATATCTATAGGCGTAGCTAGACATGAGTAATTAGAGATAACGTACATTATAGGTTAGCGGACCACACGTGTTAGCGGACTACTTTTGCGAAGCCTCTACTAAGACTACTCTGTCTACGTAATGCCTTAATAACAGCACTAGATAGACTCTTCTAACAAATATAAGATATAGACTGCTCTTTAAGCTCTTAAATAAGATATAATACTCTTCTTACAACGCGCTCGACAACAAGATAATGCATGCATGCAATATCCTACCCCCTTACAGTGACAAACTATGCCAAATCCTGAGTACTCAACCCAATAGGCCCATCCGAGTCCGACAGAATAAATTCCCACCTCCCACCCCGCCCCTCACCCTCAATCGAACGTATCTCCACCTCAAAGTTCTCATCCGGGCTCGGCGTAGCCTCCCAAAACTCCACCCTATCCCCCGACGCCTCCATCCATCTCGTCGATTTCGGTCTGACATCAAACTGCATGATCATAGTCGCAGCAAAAGCCAGGATCTCCGTAGTAGCGAAATGGCGACCTGGACACAACGTCGTGCCGCCACCGAAGGCACGGAAGCCTGCTTGGCTAGGACGCTGGTCTGCGAAACGCATGTGGTCGAAGGTATTGCTATTAGAGCCCCATATTGTGGAGTTATGGTGCTGGACGGGGGTTGGCATCATTACCGTGCTGCCTTTTTTCAGCAGGTATTGGTTGTCTAGCATGTGGTCTTGCATTACGAGGCGTGCGGATACTGCGGTGCTATAGAGACGGAGGACTTCTTTGTATGTTGAGAGAAGGATTGGGCAGGACGTCTTCAGCTTCGATATGTCGAGGATATTTGTTGCTTTCCCTTCTGCGCTTTCGGTAACCGTCAGCACAGCTAATACTTCCTGACGGCATTTTTTGAGAACATCTGGGTCTGAGTAGAGGTGGTAGAGCAGCCAAAAGGTGTTTGGCACAGTGTTGGACAGCAGAGCTACTCCGTTGGCGAATTCGGACCTTGCGATATCGTTGAGAGGAATGCGATGATCTGTACTGTGGTTGAATCGAGCCTGGACATGTTCAGAGCCGTCATGATGGTGGTTTTCGCTGAAGTACTTTTCAAAAGCAATAGATCCGACGTTCATAGCGTTGATGGCTTTTTTTGCGATGCCCGTCGAGTTTAATCCCATGATCAAGTTCGACATTCCTGACTTGAAGGTCCTGTAAGTGGTTAGTAATTGTGGCAATATTCAACCGAGCATCTTTACCAGAACGCGGCCTCGAATTTCGGATCTTTGTATGGGTTCGAGGGACCGTATACAGAGCCCGTGGTAGCAAGCGTGATTTGATGCTGAACCCAGTCGAACAATTTCACAGTCGTAGGTGCTTCTTCTTTTAGTCCATTGAAAGTCTGTGCAACTAATCCAAGCATGATTCGGTTCATGGCATCCAGATGTGTACCAGGCGCTAAAGAAGGTTGAATGGCATCGTGAAATGTCATGACATATCCCCAGTTACCATCATCTCCATTGATATTCATGTTGATGATATCGCTCGCTGTCTTGCTGAAGCGAGAGACTTTGACAGAGGCATCAGCTACCAAGGGCATAAAGGCGAGCGCTTTGTATTGCTTTTGAACCGCAGACATGAGGGCGGGCGAATTGACAACATAGATGCGCGATCCGGGCAACCGTAGGGTGTAGATGGGAAGGTTGAACTTGTCTCTATGAGTTTCACCGTCAGTATTGTTGATATTACTTGCAATGAAGGCCGACGTACCGAAGCATGACATAGTATTTGGTCTTCTTCCGCATCATGCCAATAACCGGGCTTACGAATGGAATTAAAGTTTCAATCGAACGAGGCTCTCGCCGGTCATGCGTATATCGGAGTAGTAACTGAAGAGACATATAGACGGCAGCGACTGCTCCAAAAACGATGCCATAATACATCGCCATGGTGTGCATCGTTGAGGACGGAGAGTTTAGGGTCGGTGCGAAGAAGCAGCCGCTTTGACGGTTTTCCGCACGCGAAATTCTGTATAAATTTAGATAAATAAATCAGGCAACTAAGTAGAGAAGGAATTTCCAAGCTTCTGAGCGGTCGACAATGGCCAATGGTTTGGTGATGGCGGACACAGGTTCGTCATCACGTTGCGGCACAGTTGCAGATCGTGCCTGCCAGTATTACGCCTTGTCGGGCTTGTCGGGGATGTTACGCCCTGAATAGCGTCTTAAGTGCGGCAAAACACGAGTCAAAAAGCCGCATTAAGTTGACGAGACGGGGGTCATTTACGCAGAGCTATTAAACAACATCAAGAGCACCGCGATCTTTTTTTGCATTGGTAGGTGAAGCTTTCAAATGGTTGGGATAGGAATGGTCAAGGTATAAAGATCGTCGAGGACATGTCGATTCGGCATGTACATTTCTAGGAGTACTCTAGCTTTAGAATAGGATTACCATTACAACACTATACTATAGCAGTAGTGTAAGACTGCAGCCTGCCGTTGCGACAATTTGCAGTCAAAGTTGCTGCTGCTGGACGTTGTGATCGTCCACTCCATCGTACTGTCGATTTCTACCTACTGCCTATTACTGTGTTAAGGTCTTGGGTATACGGCCTATTCTGTAGTCTCTTTCTGTTATTACTTTACTGCGTTGTATGCATCTGCTGCTTGTAGCATGATTCTACTTTTCCCTGAAACAGTAAGACTGCAGCATCTGAACAATATCTCCGTGTCCATTCTTCTCCGCCTTCATTAGCGCTGATTCTCCTCGATCATTTCTCGCTCCAATGTCCACCTTACCAGTGCTAAGCAGTATTGCAACTATACTACTGTACCCGTTCGCCGCCGCTTCCATCACCGCTGTAGATCCTGATTTACTTTTTGCATTCACGTCAACCTTGTCAGTGCTCTTGTCAGTGCTGAAAATCAGCTCAATTATATCCTTACGAGCCTGCTGCACTGCCCACATCAGCGGCGTCCATCCATAAGCATCCTCTGCGTTGATCTCGACCTTGCCAGTATTGAGCAACAAGTCGACCATATCCTTGCGCCCATGTCGTATCGCCCACATCAGCGGAGTCCTTCCCGTAATGTTTTTCGTATTAACATCGATCCTGCCAGTGCTAAGAAGCAACTCGACTATACTTTTGCACCCTTGTTGTATTGCCAGTACCACCGCCGTTCGTCCGGCATTGTCTTTCGCATTGACGTCCACTTTGCAGTTCGGAAGCACGAGAGCAAGTACAGTATCCTTCTTGTGTTCTACAAGAACTAATACTACGTTGCCCTGCTTCGGAAATCTGAAGTCTTGAGGAAGTGTGTATTGGCCATCATTGTCCGTGTTGTAACGTCTGAACGTCTGGCATTGGTTTTCCCCAGGACCGCCATCCGAGAGCGCTTTGATGAACGCATAGACCGCTTCTCTGCTTCCAGTGGCCATGGCTGCAAGGAACGGCGTCCCATACCGCCCTTGTTCAACTTCGAAACATGACCTGACAGATGGATGGACTTCGATAAGGTTTGACAAATTGCGGGATGCAAGGATGTATAGACTGTATGACGTTATCCTCGTACCACAGCGCCTGATTGTATTCGAAAAGACCATCAAGTGCTGACCAGAGAATGAATGGGAAATCCTTAAGAAAGTCTTGTTGCGTGATATGAGCTGCTCCCGCTTGATTTGCGTGATAGAGCACATTCTGCACTGCGTAACTCAGGAATGGAAACCTGCTATGTATAGAATCACGCGAAACCTGGACTTCGTGGAGGAACGTTGTTCGCAAATTTCCTCGAATGGCTGCGAAATGGACGCCAACACCCATGTAGGCGAGACAGCACTGTTTGAGCCGCTCGTGACTCTGACCCTCGAGATTGGTTTTCAAAGCAGGCCATATACTCGCAAGGCCATCCTCATTTAGGAGGAAATCCCGAACAGACTCATGGATAAATTGGACTATATTCGCTCTAGACGCGAGAGCTGTAAGGCCTTTAGAAGCATCGAGTATAAAGCGGCTAATATCGTCCTGCGAGTTCTCTTCAGGGTCCCAACTCGTGACTGCATGAGGGTCGACACCAGCAAGAACGGCATAATATAGCTGTGCTGGACGCAACGGCTGCTTCGTGTAGAGGACCCACTGGATACAAAGAATCAGGTCCGTTTCGTTGCGCGAGTCGCGTGTCAATATATCCCTGAACAACTCGTGCAGATCGGCAGGGATTTCCTTAAGTCTACGACTCAAAGTGTGTATATGGCCATGATCGTACTCCTGTCTCAGTATACCGACAACTAGCACGACCCACATGAAAACCCCCGAGGCTTTCTTTTGAAGGTCATCTTGAATTTGCCGGGCAATCTTACTCTCCCCAATCTTCAATTCGCTTTGTATGTATTTGACGATATCTTGGGCGTGTCCCTCTTGTCTCTCAAGCACGAGGCTCAGTCCTGCCTTGATGGTGATGTTTGGATAATGTCTACTTGAAAAGCAGAGTTGAAAGCGAGTACCAGGTGATAGACTCAGCTCACTGACACGCTCAAAGAATGCAAGCATGTCCCGTATCTGCTGTTCCTCGCACTCGTCAAGGGCATCGATGAAGCAAACTACAGGAGTAGCGTCTAGAGTTTGTATAGCTTTCTTCAGCATCGATTTAAGTAACTGCAAGTCCCATTTAACTTCAACGCCGAGCGTCAGGGTTGATCCGACTAATGGGTCGAGCAGGTACTGGAGCTTTGGAATTCGAGTGAGAAGCTGCAGCAGAAGCGCCCTATATGTACCAACCGTAGATCTTTCTATCTCCTCTCCTCTAGCATTGAAGAAGAAATGGATCACTACTGAATCCTTCATTGTCTCCTGTACATGAGCTAGAGCAAATTTCATTACGGTAGATTTGCCCGTGCCGGGCTTTCCTTTGATCCACAAAACTCCGTGGTGATGAGTGAGATGTTCAGGATTGAGCCAGTCGCTGAATTGACAATTCGATAACAGCCATCTACATGTCTGAGCATGTGCTGTTTCGATGGTCGTATGCCGCACTTGGAACTGCTCAAACCACAGGGATCTCATGACCTTCTTTTTCTGCTGAGCTTCCAAGCGTGAAATTCCTGTATCGGGTTGTTTTTCGATCTGCTCCATGAGTCGAGCTAATGCATGTTCCCGACCTTCTCCATAGATAGGTGACATGAAGACATCAAACAGCCCCTGTAAGCAATATGCTGCATCTTCTTCTCTTGCGGTATTGCGGTTTGCGGCCCATGACAGACGTTCTTGTCTGCTAAATTGGGCCAATGATTTGCCTCTCAAGGCCTGGAGCGCAATGTTCGTGACCTCGTGGATAGTCTCCTCTAATGACTCTCTGTTACCAAGATACGTTCCTTCGGTTGAGAAGAATTCTACGGAAGGAGGAGCAATAAGTTCTTGCAGTGTCCAACCCCGGGTAAATCATCTGCTGTTCTTGAAGGCCGTTTTCCATCTTCGTGCGTCTTTATCAACTCCTTCAGAAGTATCGTTACAAACGTCGGACAGGTACACATAGCATCTTGATGATTTTCGGTACCAAGTGTACATAGAGTTGATCGCTTCTGAGAGATCTGCGCTGCTGGTCTTGTTGATGCAGCAGGTATCCACCCAGAAAAACTTGAGACCATTGCGTTGCGCCTGCTCAACGCAAAATGTGATCTTAGCGTATCCTTTCTTTTCTGAGCCACGATGTTCTTGCATGTCCTTGAACGTAACTTCGTCTTTGGCTAGTAGCCATGTATGCGACAAGATACCATAAGGTGGAATGGGTTTATTGTCGATGTATTCGACGAGGCTGAGACGGCCATCGGGGTCGATGCGAATGAGCCAAATGTGGAAGGACAGGGTTATGTTTTGTAGAGGAACCTACACATCGAATGTATAAGATCACGAAGAGCGACGCAATGGTGAGTGACAGAGGGAAAGAGGCGCGACGTACGCTGATGCACCAGCGGCTACAGTGTGGCGGGGCAATATGCATCGATCAGGCTGAGAATTCTCTGGTCACCATTGGACGCAGATTCGGCAGGGTGCAGATGTCAGCGGTCGCAAATGACCGAACATAACATGTTCGAGCTTACTACATCTTGTTAATTACGATGGGAAGCGACCAGGGTGCAACAAGTGACAGCCTAGCCCATCCTAAGACGATACGCAGGGCCTTGCCATCGCAATCACTTCTAAGCGATACTATGTATAGCTCTAGGCTGTTGAATAATCGGAATCACTTTCTGTCGTAATCGACAACCTGCGGTTACTAGACCTGCCATGTCTCCTTAAGCTTCCCTTGTTACATTCATTTACCAATAGAGTTACTTTCTCTTAAGAGAACAAACACTTCTCATGCCCGGCGTCGCAACTATCACATCTACACAAATTATCAGTGTTTCTCAAAAATCTTGCACTCAAAATTTCTAAGCTGGGTTTGACGAAGAATCAGTACTTCAATACAATTGTGCTAATATACATAGAGATTCTTCACTTCCGCATCGTGCATACTTATCTTCTTGTTTCGAGCCTTGAGAGAGTACTTCATGAACAGTGCGACCGCAATCACCCCCACCGCGAAACTGATACTCGCATACCACGCAGTCCTGTAATGCGGCGAATCCGATGACGGCCACAGGTAAGGCGTATAAACATTTGACATGTTGCCCAGCATGTTGATAATGGCAAGCGCCACGGACTTTTTTTCATTGGTCTGGCCAAGCGTCGCACTGCTCCACCCCAGCAGGATATTGTTGATGCCGAAACTGAAGCCCACAAAGAGGAAGATGCTGAATAGGCGCGCGGCGAAGTTGCTTGTGGTGAGGGGGATGATGAAGCCGATGATAACGATGCTTTTACATATCACAATATGCCACGTACGCTCGTTCCAGCGGCCCGACGTCCAGGCGATTATGAGTCCTATTATGGCAGCGAGAAAGAAGGGCGGGCACGTCAAAGCCAGTGTGACCGTCCGGCTATACCCGAGGCCCAACATAACGGTGGGAATGAAGTTCTGGAATCCAAGCGAGGAAACGTGGAGGTTATACATTAGAGTCATCGCCCAGGTACGCCAGTCAGTAGCTGCGTCTCGCAGACCAGACCAGACGCTGGTGCTTTCTTGTAGATCGGTCGTATCGATGAGGATTCGGTTATGGGCGAGTTGCCTCTCCTCTTCGGTAAGCCATCTGGTGGTCAATGGGTCATCGGGGAGAAACCAGAAGGCCATCAGCGCGGTAAGTGCCGAAAAAGCACCTTGAAGGATGAATAGCCTGTCATCAAGTTAATTATCAGGAAACTCAGGCTTGAGGGATGTGCGGGCGCACATACCATTGCCAACCAGCAAGTCCAAGCTTCTTATCCAGCTGAAATACGCCGACCGCGATGAGGCCTGCGAACGATCCGGAGAAATTATTGCCAGTGGTCAGGATAGCGAGCCTAAAAGCGATTTCCTTGCGTGTGTAGAACAAACTGATGATATATAGTGCTCCAGGGTAAAACTAATAGCAAATGTTAACGGTATTGCGCAATCGAAAAAAAATGAACACAGGCGAAGACCTACCGGAGCCTCGACAATACCAAGAATAAAGCGACAAACCATCATGCTGCTGTAGTTGTGTGCCAAGAACGTCAAAAGACTGACAAGCGACCAGGCAAAGGCAAAACCCGCCATAACGATGGAAATCCGAAACCTGTTCAATAACATGTTGCACGGCACTTGTGCGGCTCTTATTGTTGGCAGTTGATCAGCGCTCTGCATTCAGTTTTTGATGAAGAGGAACCCAGCTTACATGTATCCGACAAATAAAATGGACACGCAAGTGTTATATTGCGTTCCTTTTAAGCCAAGATCTGCCTCGAGGTTGTTGAGTCTCGCGTTGACAATGGCATTGCGGTCGAGGTAATTGAATGTGTACATGAACCACAGAATAGGCTACGAAAAAGGTTAATTCGTCAGATCGTCGTCAGTGCCTAACTGATTTCGCGACTTACCATGATGTACCAATCCAGTTTCCTCACAAGTCTTATCTCTCGAGGATCTGTCTTCGCGTGTGCACCAAATTTATCCACTTTGTCCATAACAGGCAGCTTCAAGTTCTCTACGTCGCCATGCTGCACCGTATCGACGGGCGTGATGTGATTCTGGGTGGCTTCATGGTCTTTTGTCTTGATGTCGCTGACAGCGTTCGTAGTCTGGGACATAGGTGCAGAGATGATAGGCTGAGATGGAGAAAGACTGTTTTATCGGATATCGACCTGTCAGGCGGATGCTTGCGAGGACAAGGTGATCTTAAAGTATCTATCTAGCAATTGCTCACCCAGTCCAGAATACCGGGAAAGAACCGATAGCATGCTAAGTACTGGATTTAGACTAATCATTTAGGTAGCTAAGTCGCACAGGTGTGGGACCCTTATCTTTGGCTAAGATAAAGTGCGGGGCCTGGGATTGGAACTGTTCGCGGATGAGGGAGCCGACCGTCTGCCGATTTCGATATCGGTCCCTAACCCGACCGACTTCCAAGGGTACTTTCCGAACCCAGGTAGTTTGTGATTAGACAGACCAGCGAATCGAAACCGCCAACATCATTTGTTCGCAGAATTGCTCAGCTACAGACAGGTGGCCATAAGTCAGTGATAATTGTACGAAGATAAGAGAAACGGTATAACAAGGTCCTATATCTAGCCTGAGTGATGCCTGCTATGATAGTAGAAAATCGAACCCGTTCACAGACGATCCCGCATTTTCCTCCCCACTATTCTGAGATATACTTGAAAAAGCCTCCTGAACGCGTTTATCCAATGGGTCGGCTGATAATATATTCTTGTTATGTATCATTGACACCTGAGTCTACGTTCACTGGTGTATCGAAGATTTTGGGACAGCTCCAGAAAGTCGTCTATCTGTGGCCTTTGCTCAGAACCGAGCTGTGAAGACGAAGGCATGGTACATCTCACAGAAGCTGGTGATGCAACTGGCGAACGTAGAGATCACGCGACTGGAAGGGAAATGGAAGGTAGGGGGCAAATACTGCGGCCTTGGAATGGCTAAGTTGAGAACACTTGGCGCCTAAACCAAGTTGCCCTATAAGTGACGTAACACAGATTCTCAGGCCCTCATCATTTCTAAGATAATTTTCAACGACAATTTATCCTTGAGAGGTTCATCCATGACCCAAGATCTTCTTACCTATCAAATAGTCCAGAGAATACGTCCGGTATTATCATCAGAAGAGTATTCGATCTCTATTTGAGAATAAAAAAACGGTACCCAATGGATTAAAGAGACCAGATGTCGACAAGATGAAGATAGTCTAGAAAGTCAACGACCCTCTTCTAGTATCGCTACTTTACATCATTTCACCACGTGATCCAGAGCCATTACAATTTCGCCTTAGACGTAACCAGTCCTATGCATTTGATTTCAACATCTGTATGTTCGGGAAGTGTTTTAACGGCCACGCATCTGCAAAGTCCAACGCTAGTCAGCAACAAGAAAGAAATCGAAACGGAGAATGATAACAACGCACGTTCTCGATGGTTTGACCTTGCCCCAGTACTCTCCATAGACCTCGTTCATCTTGGCGAAATCCTCCATGTGGGATAGGAATACATTAACCTCGACGACATCGTCTAGCGAGGAGCCAGCGGCTTCTAGGACGACTTGGAGGTTGCGGATGCATTGACGCTGGGGTTCGACAGTAAGCGTTTAGCGCGGGTCCAAGAAATTTCGTGACAAAGAAAGACATGAAGGGGAAAGGAGAGAGAGGAGTCAAGCGAGGGAGAAGGAGAGAGAGCTTACCGTCCGGTTCTGGACAGTGCCTCCGACAAGCCGACCGTTGATGTCCTTGGGTAGTTGGCCAGAGCAAAACACAAAGCCATTGGCAACAATAGCCTGGTTGTAGATTGGGCGCGGCTTGGGCGCCTTATCCGTATAAATTGCTGTCTTTGTCATGTCGCTCGACTGATGGAAATGTTCGGTACAAATGCGGATTAACTCTTTGCAAATGAGCTTTTTTATTTAGTTGTGAAAGAAGAAGAAAGACAAATAAACACATGTGCTCCGACTAAACTCGGCTCAGAAACTAATGTACCGGTCTTATCTGGTGCGAATATTACCTACCGTCAAGGTCGGCCCGTTCCTTACTCAGTACCACTCCTAGCCTCTCTCGCTTTGCGCTCGGCTTCTGCTAGCCGACACGCCCTACTCCTTACTTGCTAAGCTAACTAAAAACTACACGCTGATAGCTGCGCTATCTACAACAACAACCTATCTCTACTTAACACCAATAGTATCTATATAGGCTTTCTTTGCGCCTAGGCTAGTAAACATCATAAACTCATGAGTACTTTAGGCTACCACATCTCTTTGTTAATTAGCTAAGCCGGAACGACGCCAAAAAAGTGTAACAGACAAGAATTATTGTAGAAACTGGTTCGGATTGGCAGTTATCCAGTCACAGCCGACACAGTTCGTGGCACCATTAACCTACACATGCACCGGGTTAGCTATATCTTCGACCAAGTTCAATATACTGCTTACACCCGGTGACATACCGACAATGATAAGAGCAACTAGCTTGCTTCCAAGGTCCTATATGACGATGATAGATATCCCTCCAAGCTCGTAGCCAATATTAGGGTTCTAGTAATCGACGACTCGGTGCCGAAGCACTCCGCCTATTCCGACCAGTGAATTGTACAACAAACATGAAAAGATCACAATGAAGATTCATCCATTATTGAAAAAAGTAAAAGTATATTCAGATGTATTCATCGATCTAGTAAATGTCGCAGACCTAACGCGTCTCGCATAACTATAGCTACAATTATGTACGAACGACAACAACAAATACAATGGAAAGGAAAACCAGAAATTCCCGACCATAAAAGCTCCGCGTGGTATATTGAACAAAGCAAACATCCGCCCAAAACGCCCAATTCGAAACGATGCTCCTACTGTATTTTGCGCGGAACGCCTCTCCGCGTTCGCCCACTGTACGATCCAAATCCGTTTTCCAGTGACCCGTTCTCGACGGTCGTTAGGCCTTGGAATACCTCTTTCCCGAGCGAGATGATTTTGACGGTGTTGCCAAAGCCGACGGCGACACTTCTCTTACCAAGTGGCGTCATGGGCCCAGGAGACGCGACGAAGAGATCATCTTGGAAGGCAGCGATGAGGTCTTCAGGATCATCGGGACAAAGTGGTCTTGATCGGAATTCGCCTGTTGATGATAGTGTCCAAGCTTCCCAAGCATCCGAATCGCTGTTGAGAGGGTGTGTTGATGTGCGGTCACCAAATCTGTTGGGGAGGTTGGGGACGCTTTGTTTTCTAGCTCGTTGCTTCAGCGCAGATGCAAGAACTACAGGGTCGGCTGTATAATGGCTATCCTCGACGCCCGATGCGGTCGATGATGGCGTTGGTGATGGATTATTCCTCCTGATACCGATGACGCTGGACGTGCTTATCGACTCCCAGACACCAGCGGGTTCCACATACTGAACCGCCTCGACTGCACAGTCCAGGCCTTTGCACTTGAATTTTTCTCTGTCTGATGGCTTCCCCAAGCAGAGTTGTGACGTTGAGCAGTCGTCGAGGGTAAAAGTCTGCATAATCATGTGTTCGGTATATTGCTCTGAGTAAGCGACGGAGAGCGAGTGCACTGTGGGACTTCCACAACGACAAGACCGGCGAGATGCATGCAGTACTCGAAAAGAATGAGGCTTGACGTGTCCGATCTGGAAAGAATGTATGAGGGCCCTGCTGCTGAAGTCGAATATCTCTGCTTCTTCATCGCGAAGTGCGAAGATCAGTCCTAGACTTGGGACTGCTTGAATACACTTGATCTTTGCAGGATTGCTGCCAGGGGGTGGCCCTGGATCTAGCCCAGCAACGACTTCAGACGCCGGACTTCCATCCACCACCAGTGAGGAGATGTGGACTTCTCCTGGCTTCGTGACAAACACAATGCTTGTGGCCCCTTTGAGTGGTTTGTAGAGTGTCGCACACATGATTGTGTTTGCGCAGACCCGCTTGGTCCACTGTGTATCTGAAGACAGGTCCCATTCCGTCAGGAGGCCGTCGGGAGTTAGGACGATCATGTGTGATTCTTCGGTCTCTCCGCGCCAAACGCCGACAAAGGAGAACATGATGGGGGAATGTCCGCGAGTGTCGACCTTGGTAAAATGTGTAAAGCGTGAGGCGCTGATACTCCACAAGCCGATCTGGCCGGTGTCCGTGCATAGTGCGAGGTACTTGCCATTGTCGTCCATAGCAGTAGCCTGGATAGGCCATAGCTTTGGGTTAATCTTGGCTGTTTGCAATAGTGTGTGCATGTATCCGCGGCGACCATTCAGCCACACTGATGTGGAACGATCCAGGGAGACGCTACTCAGATGGCCTTTGGGACAAGACACAAGGCGCACGATATCGAGAGTCTGCGGCGTCGACAGTGTCTTGACTGAAAATATTGGCTCTTCATCTTTTGTATCATCCATGGTCTCAGGAAGCCCAGTCCAAAGAAGATAGTTCATGAAGAGAGTGACACCGGCGATGAGGAAGACGACAATAAGTGCCGCAGGAAACGCGTGACCCTGTGCAAACCGCAGAAAGCCATCCCTGAGAGATGTTGGCGGTTGAGGCTGGTCTCTGCCGTACGCTCCTTTGGAAACCACAAGAAGGGGGTCGTAAATACGAGCGACGAAGCTGTGTGCTCCGGGTTTAATAAACCCGAACAGCTCCCGAGCGGTATTGTGATCTTGAATTCGAAGCCAATCTGCTGGTGTCCTGGCTTGATTGATGGGAGGTGGACTCCATGTCCTCTCCACGCTACGCTTTTTGATTTTCGACACGAACTTTCGACGGAGTGATTGAAGCGATAGCGATGTGTCATTCGTGTCGAAGAAGTGCCAATTGATGGCCAATATGATGGAAAAGATGGCTGCACTACCAGCAAATCGTGTGCTCAGCGGTAAAGTACCTTCGCGTAACGCAGCGAGCCAAGTTTGGCGCTCCGGTTGGGTCTTTTTAGTCTTTTGGTTGAGACCCACGCGATCCAGGGAATCTGAAAGCTCCATTCTCTGGACGTCCACACTCAAAACAGCGACAAAGAATGTGAGGTGGTATACAAAATCGAAAACTAGTGTGACTGCTGCAAAGACGCAGAAGTCGGCGACCCAGGGACTGACGAGCCGAGAGCAGAAATATAACAGGGCAAGATTTTGGAAAGCAACGGCAAGCGATAGGTGACCAACCTCGCCCAGCGCATTCCCGATGCGCTGATGTGGAGGCATCTCCGGTGGTGTTTCTAGGACAACGTTGATAAGACGAAATCTGCACCATGTCAGCATTGTTCGTAATGTCGAGGTTGAGATACACGTACATATTCCCAAGCCCGAAACAAAAAACTACAGCTGGGAACCAGGGCCGGGGTATGTGCGTCAAGTTTATTCCAAGGTATGTACATAAAGAAAAACTCGCAATAATGCATATCGTCATCTGCGAGTCGGTTAGCAGAGTTGACGGAGTCGGAAAGACAATCCTACTTTTGCGCATATCGTTACAAGTAAGCCGAACCAACTCTTGACAGCGCGCAACTGCATCATCTTCAAGATGACATATGCTGCTGTTACAATGTAGGAAGCGGCCAAAATTAGGTCGTCGATAAGGGTCATTGGTCGGAAGTGGAATTCGTAAAGCCGACTGTTGGTGACATGGCCACTCTCAGGAAAGACTGTCCAGTTCGGCGATATTCTCTCAGCCAGCAGGCGGGATCTCGCGTCCCATACATCTCCCAAGCCATCATTGGTCTGGTCGAATACGGTGAAGACAAGAGCATCAGCTGCGCGCAGCTTGGTGTTGTAAAACTTCTTGCCTGCGAACAAGCTGCTTGGCCGAAGAGTCAGGTTGAGAGCTGAATGTGCCGTCGCCCGCGAATTGATGGAGTTCAGGAGGTTTTGGTCGCTCTCGAGAGCACTCAGCGAGCAGTCCCAGTACATCAACGGCGAGTGATATCCCCACTTCTGGCCCGCTGCTGCCGTAAGACAGCCCGGGCTGTCGCGTGCAGCAATTGTTTGTGCAGCCTCCTCCCTATCCCCGAAGCCGCTGCCAATGAGAGCGTCCTGCACGTGCATGGCTTCGCGCAAGACAGGCAACTCTATCGCCTTCATGTAGTCGCCATGCACCCAAACCTGGCGCACCACCACATCGGCAGGGCGGTCGCCTTCAATCTCCGTCGTCGAAGTCCAGACATGCTTGGGCAGGTTCCGCAGTGAGGCCGCGGCGGGGCTATCGGCCTGAAACACAGCTTGGTAGCAGAGCAACACCGAGATGGTGATGGTCAGGACGAGCGAGAGCAGCCAATGCCGCGCGGTAGCAGTGCCATGTGCCTGGAAAGCCCGGCGCAGAGGGTGCGAGGGAGATAGCCGTGGTGGCTCGGTCGTCCTGCAGGCGGCGTTCAGCAAATGTCGAGTCTCGTGGAGGAGCTACAGGCTATCTTACCCACGCAACGGGTACAGAAGGTACCAAATCATTCAGCGCCGCGTGCCCGTCCTCAGGGCATGCCCGGATGCAGAGAGGAGAGGGGCTCAGCGTCAGCCTTCAGCTTCAGGCTTGCGACGTACTCGATCGCAGTAGGAAGGAGCGGGGGGTGAGGTTTGGCGGCTCATTCATCTGTTGGAGCAGGCAGGCGCGAGGGACGGAGAGACTGCGGGAAGGCGCAGGTCGATGGGCGGACGTCGTGGGCGCGCGATGGCGTAGCTATCACATCGGTGGACTGGCTTTGGAGGTGGCTTCGAGGTGCGTTACTTGACAATTCGTGGCGTCCCAAAGACGAGCATTGGTTTGCGCCAAGCACGGGGTCGTTGTTTCGCTTCTCTTGGGTAACCGCGACTCATGCACCATCGGCCGCCCGCTCCATATGCTCGGCGAGGAATACGGCGATACGTGCAAGACGCTCCGGATGTAGTTACCACACGAAAGAGGCTCTCGTGGCGTCCTACGGAGCTTCCGGACTGCGCAAACTCAAATCACACATCTGCGCCCACAGCCAATATTTGGAGCGCTGCAAAAGCAAGTCCTTCACGCGTGTGGTCGCAATCAGGACAAGATGTGCGCTCGGTGCCGTCGACCGGCGCATTGTAGATCTTCCATTACAAAGAGGGCAGGTCTAGCTACGGGTGCAACACAGAATGCTATCGATATGCAGGGAAACCGTCACACAAACTCCACCCATCCATTGGGCATCTCGGCAACAATCTAGTCCCGACGAGAAGTACCGAGACGTCGCCAGTCGTGGTGACACAAGAACGGACCTTGAATCGTTGGTTTATTTCAGGATGCAGCCTCCACCACATGAGCCGCTGGGAAGTACTGCGGCGGTGCGATGTTGTGAGACGACGTCCGCGGAGCCACATGGCAACCTGCATCCAGCAAACATGAATGGCGGCTGCTCGAATCAGTGCCACAGAATGAGAACAACAATGTTCCAAGAGCTCAAGTGCCGTCCATCTCTTCATCATCTTCGTCGTCGTCGTCTTCGCCTGCATCCTCCCAGTCTTCCTCCTCCTCGCCAGTTGACGGACCCAGCGTGTCGTTTAGCTCCTTCAAAATCTCGTCTGCGTGCTCCTTGAGCCGCTCATCCTCATACTCGAGCAGAGTGTATAGCTTGAGGCAGTTCTCGAGCCAGTCGCGGCTAGCGCGCAGAAGGGACGTTGCGACGTCGTCCTCTCCCTTTGCCTTCTGCTTTCCAGACAGCAGATGTAAGCACCATCCACCCAGATACCATGCCTCCACACTGCCATCATTTTCTCCAATGAGCCTCTCCAGCACTTCGATCGCTTCGTCTTCCAACTCTGCCTCCATCAACAACCTAGACAAGCTAATTCTGGTGGAAAAGTCTGGTACTTTTGGATCATCAGGGTCCAAGTCCTTCCATAGCTCCATACTCCTGGCAAGCGCCGCTTTCGCATCGTCGTGTCGTAACTGTGATATCCGTATCGAAGCCAGAGTCTGTAGCGGTTCGGGATTGCTTGGAGCAAACAGCAGGACTTCTGTGACTGCAGCCTCGCACCTAGCTTCTGCGTCTTTCTTCCCACGAGAGATCCGTCATGTAAGACTTCCGCGATAC